TATATCATGATAATGATGAGTACAATGAGACAGAAATTTCAAGTGGGATATATAATTATATTTAACGTTGGTTTCGACGCTGTTTCAATAATTACAGAGTATTTTCTTATAATGTTGGATTCTTTCCTATTAATAATCATCAATATATCTAGATTAATCATATCGAATATCGTAAGGATCATATTTAACAATAACATATTTACATTAGTATTTTAATATCAGAATATACATATCTACAGAATAGTGAGATTTTTTGCCTCAAATTTTACCTAATCATTGGAATAATTTTTGGCATTACGGTGCCATAAAAATGATTAAAAAATTCAAATGTGAGTAATTAAACTCAACAACTTTGCGTGAGAATCTAGACCCAACATTTCGGAACGTATTGCTTTCCATTCCCGGAGGTAGCTATATACGATAGGATACAAAATTTCATTTGTCGAAATGTCAATGTCGATCACCTCTTATCATTTATATCAATTTCATAGGATTGGAAATGCCTTTCAAAGGAGTATTCTTGTAATTGTTGAGTAACAAAAATAACTTGATTATTTGGCTCTAGGATTACGATATTGATCAAATGTAATTGAGGACCAGCCTCGGTCGGCATCATCAATATTACGTTTTCCCTGATATCATGTCCCAAATAATTGAGAGAGCTTACTATTTTAATATCTCCAGATCGATTGGACGGGAAAACTGGCAGAAAATGACGATAATTTGGATCTAATTCTAATCTTTTGTTAAGAGCGGGACCAGGGAGAAAAGGTGGTCGTAGGGGCTTGTTGATGAGTAACCGATAATGCAATTTAAATTGTGCCTTGATGGTTCTTTTTAGTATTTTCTACGATATTGAGAAAAGGAGAGATTACCATGTATAAATAGTACTGATTACCATCCACATGGTAATCTCTCCTATAATAATTGTTGTCGTTGCTATATTGTATAGTAATGCCTACCATGTTCAAATGGTATTGATTACTATACAACATAGTGCGCTTTACTGTTGAACATAGTAAAAATTACTATTGAGATTGACTTGGAAACCCTTTTACCATAATTTATTGTAACCTCTACCATTTACTTTTCTCCGTGTACAAACTCTTTTTATTCAATAATAGGAAACGACTCTCCCCATGATATCAGTACATGGTGAGAATCGTAAGAACCGCATGATCCTATGTTGCTAGATATTACGGCGACAAGTCACCGAGTCTGGCAACTATGGCATGAACCGCAAGGAGATAACGTGAGATTTGGAGTAATTCAACTATTTTCGCTTGATACCCTTAACTAGACTGTAGATCTGATTATTACGAAAAATATCCAATATAAATTCGTGAAATGGAGGTTTTATTTATTGTAATTATAACATATTCCTCGCATGGAAATGAATATAGGCGTTAAATATATATATATATATATATATATATATATATATAAAGTCAAAAAATATATGTTACATATGTGGACCTCCGCATGAAAAGGGACCACTTTGTCGATTCTATTTTCCGAGATATTCACGTTTTTCTCTTGCCAACTCCCATTTAAATCCATGTTAAATTATTTTTTCGATCGTCTATAGCGTCGTCACTCTTTACGCTATCAAGTTCATTTTTGGCTCTAAATTGGCAGAATCAGATCAAGATTATCGGCATATACATAACTCTAATAGTGCCAGTGGTCCCTTTTCATGCGGACGTCCACATATATTTAACTTATATGAGCATATACGCCACATACTTTGCACATATATTTTGAATACTACATTTTTTGCCGCTTTTATTTATGTTGAAATATATGTTTGAAATATGTGACTATATGCTTTAAATGTTCATAATATACAGGGTGTCCCATTTGAAACAGTACGGCTTGGTATCCTTTGTAGAAAAAGTGACAGTAAAATTGTTCAAATAAAAGTTGTAGGGTTCGGAGGGGGAAACTCAGCGCTGATAGAATCTAGACAGTTTTCTTTAATGGCAACAACATTTTTGACCCCTACAAAAGTTGTTCGTCTTGCCGAGACAAGTTCACCCATACCATATTTTTGGATGACGTCATCGTTTTCTCATGAATAACCGTACAAAAATCAAATGAAAGGGAAACATCTTTATTTTGACTATCTTACAGGTTTTATTCCACATACTGTACATGTATCTTCGTGCAGGTATCGGGAACAGTCATTGTAGAAGATGTTCGACGTTACTGGCATTTAACAGCAAGGCACAACTCCAGCCGGCGTCGGAAATTTCGAATAATAATAGATCGAGGGGCTTCAGGTAGAATGTTCGCGATTGCATCTCTGATCCGTCTTTGCAAATCGGCAAGGGTTGTCGAGTTGTCAGTCGATTGACGTACACATCTTTCACTTAACCCCACAAATAAAAATCGAGTGGTCTGAGGTCAGGAGATCGAGGTGGCCATGAGACAGAACCACCTCGACCGATCCAACGATTGAGGGAAACAATGTTTGGATGATCTCTCACAGATCGAGTGAAGTGCGGCGGTGTTTCGTCTTGCTGGAACGATGCCCGGTGTCTAATTGCTAACATGACATAATAACATAATAACATTCCAGGGTTCAAGCATGGCTAGGTAGTCCGAATAAAGATATTTCCCTTTCATTTGATTTTAGTACGATTATTCATGTAGAAACGATGACGTAATCGGAAAATATGGTATGGTTGACCGTCTCTGGGCGAGATGAACAACTTTTGTACGGGTGAAAAATGTTGTTGCCATTTGAGAATAGCCATTTTCGCTATGCGTCCGTCAATCGCTGCTTACAGCCGTTATGACAAAAAAATTTTTTTTTGCTCGAGTAATGAATATAATTTTTCGTCCGTCCGTAAACGGTGTTTAACGGATACGAAGTATGATGAACAACTGACTTCATGCTCGTAGGCTACGATTAACAAATCATACGTCCTTTGGCTTTGAAGAAAAAAACTCGAAATGAGGGCACTTACGTCAGTTTCTCTATACGTAGACAAAATAATTAAATTTTCAAATAAATGATTGTGTAATTAAATGGTTACGCATAAAACTCTTCATCTGGTAAACAGGTGTGACGAAACGAATTGCCTGACTCACACGCTGAGGAAACAATATTGCGTTTCAAGAATCTAGAATTGGCCGACCGTGCATCAATGGAACATTTAAATATTGCGTTATTCAATAGCTATTTACTCATTCCTTTAACTGCTCAAAAAATGGAGTGATGATGGAAGATGAATATTCACCGTACGGTTTCTTGTTGTCAAGAATTTCTGGGTATTTACGATGATTTCGAGTAAGGGCACTTTACAATTATAAAGTCTTTTACCAACATTAGGAATTTTTTCTGCGTTTTTTCAATCTTCTGTGATTTTCTCTTTCTCAACTTTTTCTCAAAAGTAGTATAATAGGAATATTCTCATACGTAAACATCTTAGCTCGCGCTATCAAAATTTTGTGATAGCAAATTTTTTTGAAAAATTACAATATCTTGTTTTTTAATGCTGCTTATCAGGAGCGTTTTATTATTGTGCTTTGGGGCGGGATACTTATAATCATACTAGCACTCTTATAAAGAGAAAAACGATGAAACAACGGAAAGATGAATGATGCAAGCTGCTAGTCTCCAAAATTTTCGCGATACCCCTTATCTTCAGATATCGAGACGATAATCCAACTCTTTCTTGACTCATACAGAAATTGAAGAGATTTCATTGCCCCACCAGGTCAAGAACGTACTGGAATTGTTTTAATCAGGTTTATGATTAGCAAAAGACTTAACTCGGTGTAACTATTGCTCGGGAAGCTTTAGCTATTCAAGGATGGCATCTACTCTCTAACGCACAGCTTTTTCCACCGGTGAATTTTTTGTTGAATGCTGTTGTTGAGGGAAACTTTAGAGCTTAAACATCGATGCACTACTGAACAATTCTATAATTCGTGATAAAAAATAAATTGCAAATTTCTTACATTTTGTTGAATTTGAGATCATTTCGATAATTAATGAGTTCAAAAGAAAATTCATAGTGCATTTTCCTATAAGCTTTTCGGGCGACAAAGAAATACCTTGAAATTTTCACGTAAAACCATTTCTTCCCCAAATAAAGACACCATTTGCGACAAGTGCTGAACTGGGTTCATTATGGCGTAGCCACACTGGGGGAGCAGTTTTCTAAGAACTTCATCAGTGTATTAGTGGAACTCAACGTTATAATCAAAATTATTTTTAATTTAATTAATCAAGTATAATTTCATTAATGATAATTTCTGTAACAAAAATTTTCAAGGTATAGGAAACTCACCTTAAAATTGTAAATATTGAGAGGAACCATTTTTATACGCCTCAAGTAACTATTTCGGTTTGTTCTCGTGCAAGAACATCTCCTCCAATTGATGCACCAATAAATTTATTAAAATTATTCAATTCAAACCGATAGGGAGTTGTGAGAATTTCTCTCATTACGCGCCTAAAGTCAGTGGAGAGACGGGTTCCAACTTTGGATACGCTGGTCAGTAGTAGAGGGCTAGATTGATGAGAGATCTCTTACTACGCCTAAAGAATGGGGGGGGGGGAGAATCGCGCCTAGAGAACGGCAGGAGAATTGTGCGCCTATTGATGGGTTAAACAATTTAAATTCAATAACGTTAAAGAGCTGGCGGCAACGGAGGAGATCGGTTCTGACCTATTTAGGGGAACTGAATGAATTCAAAGGGTTCTGATATCCATATTGAAGTTATCCTCTCCCCCCCCCCCATTTCCGTTCCTATCCCCTAGTTATTGTTCCGGATGTTTTGGGACACCCTGTACATCAGAAGATATAGGATTCCAAGACACGATTCAAATATTCCAGTAGTGCCTGGACCAGATTGGATGACAATATTAATTTGTTCTATTGAATGAGTGATATTGTATATTTTTTCATTTCCTTTCTAATCGATAGTGATTAATCATATCAATAGTAAAGCGATAAGATGATTCGGAAACGGAAAGAATTCTCTAATTAATAGTTTTAATTTTTATATTTTGGGCTTGAATCATTTCAACATTTCACCATCAGTAATAAATTTTGAAAGATGAAATGAGTCAAATTGAATAGATTCATTTATTGTTCCTGAATCAAAAATCCCAATGAAGAAATATAATAATTCAAAGGTTGGCATCTTCGAGGAACTCTCCATTTATTGCAGCTGCTACTTTCGGATTGTCCAGTATTGTTACATGGTTTCCCTCGAGTCTGTGAATTTTCACGCCCCCCGTCGTCAACTGAAAATAATTTACAATTTTTTTTTAGATTTTTTTCTCATCAAAGTTTTCTACACAATTTCTGTCTGAAAGTATTGACATCTTGAATCTGGAGCTCTTGACTAGTTACCTTCGTGAGTCCATAATCTGCAGAAAGATACTTGAAACTCTCTAAGGTGGGCTTCAATAATGTGATTGAAGATTTCAGAGGTGGGAGTCTTAAAGGATCGTAATTTCCAACAGCTATAAGGCGGTGATAAATAGCAATAGTGATATTCCTTTGGCCCTCAGGCGAGATTTTCATTGCATCATCTGGTATTCGGTCCATATATACATTGAGTTTCTCTTCCCACGTTTTGCATTTTTTGAGTTCTAAATATAGATCCCCACTAACATGGGGGGCCACAATATCAGTAATACCAATGAGCATATTAGTGCCGAGGTCATCATCATTTACGGCTCGTAACTGGTGATTTCTGATAGTCTTCAAGAATTCTGGAGAACCATCAACCAGAATTAGTTGACAATTACGACCTTGCGCTTCTAAATGTCGAACCATTTCGATTGCCACTAGAGATCCGAACGAGTATCCTACGATAAGAAAATCTTTCCGACTTTGGTTTTTCTTCAGAACGACCTGAAACACAATATCGTAATTAAGTTAAAATTTGTTCACTGTTTTTATTCACTCACTCACTGAATGAATAATTTTATCCTGAATGATGATAGAGGGACTTACAGGCAATAATTTGGTAGATAAATCTTCAATGGAGTCGCTGATGGGATCCAATTGCAGACAAGTAGCAGGAGCTTTGATCTCAGGTGCAATATTCATGAAAACAGAACCGAAACCTTCAATTCCAGGGATGAAGAACACCTCCTCGTGTCCCCTCTCTTGCTTGGTAGGTAATGTAAAGCTTATTTTGTTCATTATACTCTCGTCTGTGCCCAAAAGCTTAACCAGCAGATTCATTATCGAAGGAGCTTTTTCATCGGTACTGGTTGTAGTTTCCACCACTGACTCAGGATCCTTCGAAATCATGTCACTTAATTTGGCAAAGTTCAAGCCACGAATGTCTTGCGCTGTGAGAAATATTTCGAATTCACGCTCCAAGGTTTGCTTTATTTCTACTGCCATCATAGAGTCCATTCCGAGTTCAGCTAGTGATGTGTGTTGGCCAACTGACTTCAGATCTTTGAGACCCATGATATTGAGGACAGTATCGACAACATTGAGGGTGCCACTGCCACCTGCTCTCTTCTCAGCGACCACCATGCTTGCAACAACAGGACAACTCTGATTGAGAAAGCCATCGAGTGCATGGAGGCAGGATGTTATCTTCTGTTGGAGAGTACCGCCAATCACGAGCTCTTTGTCATCATCCTGCATGTCTGCGACGAGCCCAACATCCCCAATTGCTCCCCACTGGATTGCAAGGGCTGGAAGTCCTTCAGCAGCTCGTCTTTCACAGATTCTCTCCATGACTGAATTGGACATTCCATAGTTTGTTTGTCCTGCATTACCGCGTCCGCAGGAGACCGAAGAGAAGACAACGAAATGACGGAGTTTTGGACACAACCTTCTAGAAAGTTTGTCAAGATTTTTTGTACTCCAAGCTTTGGACTTGAAGGACTCTTCAAACGACTCTAGTGTTTGATTCTCTAAGAGGCTGTCCTTGAGGACGACCGCAAGATTGTAAATCGCATCCACTGGAGCTTGATTTGATGCTGCCAACAAAATCTCTTCACAATCTCCTACGTCTGATGCCTCTTTCCCAGTAATAATGGTGACCTTAACGCCGTAGCTCTGCCAGAGTTTGACCCGCATGAGTTGATAACCGTTTTTGACCCCTGAACGGGATGTGAGGATTAGGTGTTGAGCTCCTCTAAGAACTAGCCAGTCAGCCAGTTCCAGCCCAAAGCCTCCCAGACCCCCTAGAATTATGTAAGAGCGGTTTTTCCGGCAGTGGTATCGTGGGAGGGCCGGGATTGAAACCCCCAGGCTCTTTTCATCTTGAACCTCAAGGATTACCTAAAATTGAAATATCGTATTATGTGAGTTCCAAGAGAAATGTTCCCCGGAAAATTGTTCCCCAAAAACAGTTGACCAAAAACAGGAATTCTCCAAAAAAAACTGCAAAAACAAGCCCCAAAATGAAAAAAGAACCACAATAAGAAATTAATAAACACCAAATGGTTTGGTTATGAACATATTTACAAAAAACGAAGATCATTAAATACATATTACAACGAATCAAACAATATGAAATCCCAAACTCAAGAACAAGTCCGCGTGAAGAATGTAATTCAATATTAATTCAAAATGACAGAATGTTGGCAACGCTTTTCAGATATTTATCAATGTTATCGCGATTATAGGCATCAACAACAGTCCTAAGGCGACGATTATAATCACGGTAAGCTTTTTTCTTCTTAGCAGGAGAAGCACCGCTCCCAGCCTGTGTAATGATAACTACTACATAACGGGTGGCTCAACACTTACCATCCAGACGAATAAAATGAGAACAATAAAGAAATTGGAGCAAACAAAAAAATGAGGAACAATTTGCCGGGGAACAATTTTTCTAGAGATCCAGTTTGCAGGGACCAAGTATCTGGGTACCCATTCTGTGTCTTCCAACTATTATATCCCTTATGTTCAATGAGAATCAGTAATTGGGAAGTTCACTCACTTTACCGATGTGTTTTCCAGCAGCCATATACCTGAAGGCAGGTTCAATTTGATCCCTGGAAAAGATGGTGACGTTGAGTGGCTTAACAGCTCCATCGTCCAATGCTTTCTGCATCAGACCATGAAGTTCGTTCCTCTTTTGCTCGGTATCATCGAAAATTTTGTCCAACAAAATTCCATGAAAACTTATTTCTTTCAAGAACGCAGACATTCCTAGACGACTATTATTAGCCATATCGAATTTTCCAATCTCCAAAAATCTGCCTCCCTCAGCTAGACATCTAACCGAAGCCTGAAGTTTCTCATCAGCGAGTGAATTAAGAACAATGTCAACACCCTTTCCATTCGTCTTATTCATCACCAATTGCTCAAAACTGGTATCTCTAGAATTCCCAATATGATCGTTAGGAATCTGGGGGAACGTCTTCCGAATGAATAATCTCTTTTCCATAGTACCAACAGTAGTGAAAACTTCACATCCAGTCCAAAGTGCAAGATTGATAGCTGCTTGTCCAACACCACCGGATCCAGCATGAATCAGTACCTTATCACCCTTTTTCATGTTGCCGCGGAAGTAAAGAGCATAAACGCAAGTACCATAAACACAGGGTACGGTAGCTGCATCTTTTAGTGTCCAAGAATCAGGGACATTCCAAGCGAGAGTAGGATCGTAATTCAAAATATTCGTCATAGCACGACAAAGGACCATCCCCATTACTCTGGAACCATCCGTTTTTATTCCAGCATATTCAATTCCCAGAACGCACTCTGCTGCACTCCTCGATTTAACGAAAATTTCAGGAGTAAGTTTTCCAGTGGCCAACATGATATCTTTGAAATTTATTGATGAGTAAACAATCCTGACCTGATTAGAAAGCTTGCAATTCGGTGTGATTGGCCCTTCCATCCAACGGAATGAACTAAGATCACCTCTCACGAGCTGATTTGCCCAGGCATGGTAGACAGGACGTGATGTGATCGATGGTAGGGGAAGATGTCTATATGATCCCCATGTGCCTCTTGATCTCAAGACATTTATTGCGAGATTCAGCTTTAGGTGATCAGCATACAGGGGCTCCGAGAGCGAGAAATTTGGAGCATTCGAATCTTGAATCAATAGCCCTCTAACTATTTCCCCACCAGGCTCCTTTCGAAGGCAATTGACTAGACCCAAAAGTCCATTCTCAAATGCTTTATCACTGATCAGCAAAATTCTCGATGATCCCGTGACGTTTCGTTCAACCTCTGCCTTTAGCGCTGTTTGTAAGGTGTTCACCCAGAAGAATTGTTCATTGTTTACAGGTATTACGATAGTATTCTTAGGTATTCTTTCGATTTTCCGAAGAAGCAAAAAAGTGATTCCGCGAACAACTTTTTCAAAAACTATGTTCAATCCATATTTTTTAGATGACTGAATAACTTCTTGTGGAGGTGATGATTCCAGGGTTACAGCAAAAGCTCCGTCCTTCAGGGTTGTCAGAAGCTGACTTATTGATTCATCTTTTTGCGCAGCTAGGAGGTTACGTCCTGCTAAAATCAATGCATTCATTTCTGGAGTTAATTTCTTGTAATCTGTGATATTGATATTCTCAGGAATATCTCCGGGGCGTAAGTCATTCTCTGCGGTGACGATATTAACATCTGCCTGGACCATGGGTAGATTCGCCAAAGTCTCTGATATGTGAAAGGAAAGAAGTTCTTCTGGAAGATGTTTCTCCCCTGCTTGTAGGGTTTCTAAGGTTTTCACCTTGAGGCCGAGGTGATTTTCGAGAGCAAGGTGAGTCGCCAAACGGACTGCATCTTTTAAAGGTATGTCTGCACGATCTCTATGGGCTACAAATTTATAGGTCTCCAGAACGGGATCACCTAGTGGCTTTCTTCGGGCTATTGCACTGGCCTGCAAACCACGGATTTGGACGCCACCGGAGAAGATTACGTCGTGTTGCTTGCTCGTATAAACCTTGAATTCTTGAACAAATGAATTAATAAGGGATAAGAATGCGAATTTAATTAATTTCAATAGTGAAATGCAGAATTGTTCAATTCAAATGTGACAGTCTTATTGGTGTAGAAACATTTTAGTAATTATCAAGTCCAAAATGGAATATGAAAAGAGATTCGCCATCGATAATTTCTCAAGCTACAAGAGAGGTTTTCCTAACTTCTTATCCTATAACAGGAGATATTATTTCCCTTCACGTCGGTACGATTTCCTGTTCTCGCGGATCTGGCAAACTCCTTTAGGGAATCATTCCAAGTTATTTGTCGAACATTAATTTATTTATTTTACGTCATTACTGTGATTCAATTCATTCAATTTGTCATTCATGCATTTTAATTTGAATTTCGTTAATATGTAAGAAGACGGTTCAGCGTGATTGGGTCGTCGTTATAGGTTCATGGCCTAAAGTATTGATTTTTGCTAATTCCTGCGACTGGAAATAAGCAACAAGTCGCCAGTGGGACCCTTCACCCGGCAGCGATGTAGTGTGGACATACTCTGTTATTATTCATATTTTGTACTGTTTTCTATTTATTATTGTATTGTGTGATCGATCCTTGAGTCGATTCCCGAGAACAATTTTGAGGTTCCTGTTAAATAAACTGAGCGCATTTGTCGATATAAAACAGTGAGTGAATCAATCATTATTTGAATATTCATATCATTATTCTTCTAATTCTTTGAGAATCCTTTGCTTCTACCTTGTTTATCACGTGGCATCTCACGGATCTGTTGATAATGCTTCCTTGTATTGATCGTTAGTTTTCCAATTCCTATAGGTACGAAAAGACTGCGAGTGTCACGCCCTAGAAGTCCCATTTGCAGCATGTTATCCATAAAGGCCACCCAGTTATTTGCCCAACGGATGGTTCCCTTGGATCCATCAGTGGTAGCACTCTTAAGAGCTCTGAATAGTCCAGAATACTGATATCCACGTAATCTGAACTCTTTGTAGATGTCTTTACTGGTCATTTGTTCAGGTTCCTCTTTGTTTGTTATTGGGAAGCTTATCTGTTCTTGCTGGGGATTCGGTGTGTGACGAACAGTTCCCGTTACCACTGCTACACCTCCTTCTACTACTTCAAACTTCCCTGTACCTGAAATGAAATTGAATTCTGAAGTTATCTCGGTGATCAGTGGTCCTCGAATGAATTGTCAGTGGGATATTAGTAAAACATACTCAGTAAAAAAAAATCTCATTCTTCATCTAAACAAATGAGTCTCCATATATTTCTATTCTAACTAACAATAGAAATCTTGTTTTACCTTTCTGAATCGTAATAGTTAACTCAAAAGTGACATCTTTCGAGAGTGTAGTAGCCCTCAAAAACCGCACATCTTCAAACACAACAGGCACTTCAGTATACAATTCTCCCTTCATCATTCCTATAGTTTCCCAGACGAGGGACAAATATCCAGTTGCAGGTAGGAGATTCTTCCCATCAATGACATGTCCCTCCATATATTCATAATCCTCATCAGTCATGGCCAACTCCACAATCCTCTCCCCTGAATCGATTTTCTCTTGCGTTCTGTAGGAGGTAACGAACCAGTCTTCAGAGTGTTCCCACTTGATTAATGGAGATAACATGGGTGTCCCTCTAGATACGGGAAATTTTACTTCAGGGTACAATTTCCAAATAGCAGGCTGTAATCCATTTTCATAAAATTTTCCAATTGCCTGCAGGAAAACTTCAGCATTGTCCTGATGTCCATTTTGAGTGAGAGTCATATGGATGACTTCAGAATTGAAAGAACTTTTCGGAATATCTTGAAGTCCATCAGGTGTTATCTCGATGACAACGGCACCTTTGGGAATAAGTGCAGTTGTCTCTTTGAGAAGAACAGGAGCAAGGAGATTGTTCGTAAAATATTCAGCTGAAGACAGTCTTGCCTGAGGTGACTTCCACTGTGAATGGGGTATCGATGTGCTGAGCCATTTAGAACTCCTAGGTTTAGGTTCTGAGATGATTTTCTTCAAGTATGCAAAGAGCTTTGGTCCAACATCTGCTATGCATTTGCTGTGATATGCGATTTCATTACATGGAATTTCTCGAGCGAAGATGTTATTTGCTGAAAGTTTTGCAATCAAAGATTTGATTGACTCTACTGGACCACTTACGGCAGTCATCTCAGGGCCATTGTGACAAGCAACTTCGATATCTGATGGGCAAAGCTTCTGAGTTTGCTCATATCCCAAACCAATCATTGCCATTGCACCTCTGATTTTATTAGATTCCATCAGAGCTAGAGCTTCTCCATATGCGGCTAAGATCGTTTGTTCTACTGTAAGAGAACCATCTGCGTAGCCGCAAGCCAGTTCTCCGAAGGAATATCCGATAATAGCATCTGGAAATATTCTTAAAGATGTTAAGAGATCAAATAAACCAATCTGCACCGCTACTATTCCAACTAAGCAATTGGAGAGCTTCTTGAAGATCGCTTCGACGGGATTCGTCAAGATGTCATAGATGTTTATTCCACGCAGTTTCAAAACTGCATCGCATTTCTTTATGGAATTCGCGAAGACTGGGAAGCGAAGAAGAGATGTGCCCATGCCTGGCCATTGGGAACCGATTCCTGAGAAGAGGAACCAGACTTGATGCTTGGTCCCCGCATAGTACTTGAGCCCTCGAAGCTTCTTTTTAGGGCTGGAAGTGCCTACAACCGTGTAACCACGATAAAGATGACCTGCAAGATTCTCTGCATGAAGGTCGTGAAGCAGGCGGACGTATTCTACATCAACTGGACGACTTTCAACCTGCGCTCAAGGACAGAAATTGGGATCCTTTAACAAAGAAGATGAATTACCGGAGCCGAAAATCCTTATAATGTTATACGAATTCTTTTAAAACTGTAGAATAGACATTCAAGAACCTAACGAAGTGCGAATTGAAGAATTGAAATATATGGACCATTCCATTGAATACCGTATGCAAATACAGCCTCAAAATGTTTGACAATTTTTCATTTGTTTGTTCACATTACTTATTTGTAGATAAAAGTTTTTTAAGCTCTACGAGCCTAAACGATTTTATTTAAAATTGATTGATCTAATTAACCTTTTAGGTTTAATTTTAATATCCCCACTCTATGGCCGTTGAAACGAAATGCCGGTTTCCTTACTCGAGCGTCGTACGATGCTAATTATTTTTTTCCTCACTTAAATTTCATGGTGAAAATCAGGAAATAAAACTGCAAATCTTGAATTTAGTTTGCTCGCCATGATTTTCTCCAAAACCATCTTTTGTATGCATAAGAATTGAATAAAATCATAAAAAAATGTTCGAAAAAGTTGAGGCCGAATTTGTGTACCATATTTGGATGTATAGTTCATATTGCCTCACATATCATAGTTAATAATATAAATAAATCATGTAATTTTCCGCGTATTTTGAATAAATGATCAAAGACTAACAGATGGAAAATTTTCTAATTCAAGCGTGCCCGCATAGAAAAAAATATAAGCCAAAACTTATAAGTGATATATAGTGATTTTGCTGGAATTATATCTTGAATATATCCGCCTTGTATACCAGGTATATGCTATACCCAGTGGCATATATGTACACACATATATCCAACATATATCGCAAATATTGCATTTTTTGCCGGAAAGTATACCCCATATAAGCGGATATAAGTGACATATATTTCTGTATAGATATTTTTTCCATGTGGGTGATTTTGTAGCAAACATTGACTTATCAATGTTTCCATCGTCACAAGGTCAAGGAATATTTGATATGAAATAATTAATTAAAAATAGCGTAGAATTTTTCACAGAATATTATGTAGAATTTATATTATTGGCTTCCGGATGAATGTCATGTTCGGTTTCAGGATTGCATCGACGTTCCGCAAACATTGTAGTCTGCACCTTCAGAGTTATGAGCTCTGGATCTGTGCTCCGATGTTTGGAGGTACTTTTGATATGTCCTGGCCTCCAATAAAAGCAATGATGGTGGAGGGGCAGGGGGTCAAGCCAATCGTATAAATTTTTTTCAATTGATCGATTGGTCTCTCGGAAGAACTGACAAAATTCCTTACTTCTGAAGAATCTTTTTTTTTCTAAACTCTATGGGCTCCCCAAAATCCATAAGAAGTCTGTTCCTCTCCGTCCCAATGTAAGCAACTTCGGAGCACCAACTTATCAACTGGCTCAGTTTCTCACAAAACCATTACAAAAGTTAACTTGGATGGTTTGTCCATCCAGAATCCGCTCAATTTCATCAAAAAGCTAATGAATCTCACGATCTCTCCAGTTGGTACCAGAAACTTGGAAATACTCAAGAAATCCAAGTATATTTCTCCCCAATTCCTTCTTTTGATTGAGCACTAGGAAGTACTCTCTTTCAAACTGAAAGTATATGGAAGTGAGTTCGAGGGAGAGAACTATAAGCGAAAATCGGGTGCAGCAATGAGTTCTCCCATTTCCCCGCTTATTACAAATATATTCGTGAAATACTTTTAGAACGAAGTATTGAAGTCAGCATTTCTAAAACCCACTATAGGGTACAGGTATGTGATTGATACCTTTATCATCGGGCCACATGGGAAGACAGGTCTAACACAATTCCTGGAGTTCTTGAATATTCAACTCGAGCATCAAGTTCACCATGGAAACGAGCACGACGGACATCACCCATTTATAGATGTCCTAGTTCGACGCCACGAGGATGCTACTCTAGGCCACCAGGTATATCGCAAGCCAACTCATACAAATAGGTATTTCTCTGCTGTTAGCTCCTTAATGTACAGAGCATTCACAATCTCTAAACCCTCCAATGTTGACAGTAAAGTTGAACATCTTGAGACTGCTCTGACCAAGAGGGAATATAGCATTCAACTAATTTGAAAGGTCAAGTAGAAGCTACAAAGCAAACTCTCATCTCCCCAAAGGGAGACTAATCCTGAGGATAACCAAGAAAGACCTGAAGTAGCCCTCTTCCAATATTTGAGAGGCAAAACGGGCCGCATAAGTAAAGTACTGATCAAGCGTCATAAGGGGTTTATAAGGACCAAACAAAGATCCAAGGGTCAAATTATGGCCAAGGGCCAAAAAGGGGGATACAAAAGTCCAAGTGTGCGATAGCACCCATGGGTCAAATGAAAGGCTACTAGAGTCGAACACAAGGAACCTTCTTATGACCCCCATCTGACTTCCATATGACCCACATATGACCCTCTTATAACATCTATATGACCCCCATATGAACTCCCGATGACCTTCATACTGCCTCTATATAACCCCCTATGTCTCTCAACTGACTCGCATATGACTCCTATACACCCCCATATGACACTTAAAAAACTCTCACATGACCTCCATATGACCCTCATAGAAAAACCCATAAAGAATAGAGGACCTATAAAAAATTCAAACTGGCCGTTGCGAATACTTTAACCCTTAAAAATTCAGTTTTTGACCCTTTCCCAAACGAAATAAAGTTATCAATGAGTTCCCCCAACAATTTCAAGTAAATCTAGATAATTTTTTTGTTTCTTCCATAATACTCGTTTGCCAAATATACGTATTTTTTAATGTAATTAATTCAAAATAGAAAACTTTTTTCCAAACAATGAAAATGCTTTCCTAAATATTCCCGAACGGTTCCCAAATGATTGCCATCAATGAAAATTGATAGTGAATCATCTGCCAAATATAAGACTGTGTGTAGAGATGCGAAGGCGTCATGTGACCGGTCATAAAGCGGCCATGTGACCGTCATTGACGGTCACATGAGGAGGCCCCAATGACCGCCGGTCCGGTCACAAAAAATTTTTATGCCACTCATGCCTGAAACCGGCTGAATTAGACACGAGACGCGAAGCGGCTTCGTGACATAAAATTTTGTTCAGTACTTGTTGGGAAATTTCGTCCTTAACGTGGGTGGTTACATTACTCGCCTTCGGCTCATGCTCAAACCCCACACACGTTAAAGACGAAATTGCCCCACACGTGCTGAAATATACTATTATGTCATAGGTGCCCAGAATCACGCGATTCTACCGAGCGAAGCGAAGTTAGAATCGCGGATTCTGGGCCCTATGACATAAAATAGTATACGAAACTCGTGCGTAATGGTGTTTTTTGACTCGTGGGATTGTAAAACTCGCCTTCGGCTCGTTTTACAACTTCCCACGAGCCAAAAAACCCATTACGCACTTGTTGCGTAATATACTATTATATGATACGTGCGTGTAACCGCGTGGGTTTCAGTTGACTATAGTCAACTGGAAAGTAGCCAGTTTCAAGCGCCTACCCACACTCAACTGAAACCCGAAATAATGCATGACGCGCATGCGCATCACCTATTAAAAGAGAATAACAAGGAAGGAAATCTAACCTCCGAATAGTGAATACATGGAATGACTGAAAAATGAAAAGGTGATTTTCGAAGCAAATAAAATGAGCCAAAATCGTATAATTCCTGATAGTGATAAAGAGTTAGGTAGTGAGGAGAATTTATTTACTGATGAGGAGGAGTTTATTGGTAATGTGACATTTGAAGAAAATGGAAATAAAATATTCTCCAATGAAGCAACAGCAGGATCGCCAAACTCCGCAGAAGAGAATCCGTTATGATGATTTTGATAACAACACCGAAAATCTTCCATCAGATATTTTAGCAAATGCCCAAAAGGCCAAAAATCAGATGCTACCAACAACTTCTATAGAAAAATATAACGTTTTGTATCATATTTTTTTATAATTATAACTTTCGTTTTTTTGCGAATTCTTAATGATTTTTAAAAATTGTATTTTGTAATTATTATAATTAATTTTTTTCAATTAAAAATACTTAACGTTTTTTGAACTACATATTTAATGAATATAATTAATTTTTTCTTCAGAAGTTCCGCATAATTTTTAAATCACACTTTTTCATAATTATTTTTTTAAATAAATGTGATCTTTTTTCTTCAGTGGGAGGGGGGCTTCGCCCCCTGGATCCCCTTTTCTCGTGGGGAGCTTCGCCCCCCACACCCCCCCCTCCCCCCCCCCCCTCCACCCCCAGACTTCATCACGCACTTATCATATAAAATAGTATACGCAACACGTGCGGACAGCAGGCGGTATCACTCGGGCGGCTGCGCTGCCCTCGTGAGTAACCGCCTGCTTTCCGCACTAGTTGCGTAATGTACTATTCCATGACGGTCACAATTGGCCGAAAAACTATGACGATCATTTTCCATCTATATAGATGGAACACTTTTTTGTTCATCTATTTTTTTTTCTAATTAACTAGAACTCTTGACTTTGTTTACTTACTTTAGTATCTAGAACTCTTGGGTTCGTTTATTTTGTTCCAAAGATGAAAAGTGTAATCATTCTCTCATAAGTATGGAAAAATATATGTAAGTACATGTTTCATAATTTTATAATTAAAAAAAACTGTTGTACAATTGTACACATACATTTCGAGTCTTCCGTAAAAACCTTATAATAAACAATAATTGATAATCAATAATAAATTGAACGAATAAACGATGCCAATTATGTAGAAATTATATGACCGTCACAAAAAGCAATATATTTATAACGGTCATTTTGCACCTATATAGATGGTTTGGTAACGGAAATTACTATTTTACTCTTTTGACGGTCAAAAATTATTTGTGACGGTCACAAAAAATTTGTGACCGTCATTTGCCATTAAAAAGTTCGGGACGTCACATGACCGTCATTTTTTGGTCATATGACACAATCGCAAAAATGACGGTCATTTCGCATCTCTGTGTGTCAAGGGGCTGATA